AGGGGTCCGTGCGCTTCAAGTGGCCGAGGCCATGCTTGGCCGGAAGAGAGAAGACCAGAAGGCCCGTTAGTCGAAGCCGAAGTTATGCTATATGCTATAGTCTATACAATACTATGTAGTTTACGATATACCATACTTTCTCCTATAGTATATATACTAGACTATATACTGTTCTGCATACTCTACACTATGTTCTGTTATATATAGTAGTCGTATATCACACGAGATATGTAAGTACAGGGCTTGTCTCTTCTTTCATGTTTTGTGGAACGAGAGATATGCAACTGGATACAAACAGGTTGAGTTATAGGTACAAGTGTAAATGCTCTTCTTAAAAGCTCAACAGATAACCGCACACAGGGACACATCTACATATCAACACAACAAGGATACATGTATGCATATATCTGTATATATATATATATATATACGAGTCCGGTACCTTCAGGGTCTATTAAACCGCGGTTTTATGTTTACAATACTAAATGCTTAGTTGAATAGTATATGGTTAAATGGTACATTGCACAAAGCCAAATCCAAACAGTTTTGGACCCAAAGTGATATATTGTTTAATATCGAATTCCCATGTCTTTCATAAGCTTGGCCCGATAAACGGCATCCATACTTGAGGTGTCGAATATCTTAGATGATGTCGCGTTCGTTGCCTTTCATGTAGCCGGAAATGGATGGTCAGCAACAACAAGCATCGATGGAATCACAAGCAAGGGGGTGGGTACAATATGTAATCTAACAGTTGATAATTGGTCAGTCTGGTAATACATAGTATTCTTCGATGCTGCTGTTGATGTTGTGTTCGTTTGGGAAATATTACTTTTCTGAAGTACTCTTTGAATGTTGTATATCGTCGCTTGTTGTATGTGTTGCATGCAATACCTGTGCTTGAAGCTGTATATATGCTAGGTTTCTCTGTCTCTTGATTTTTGTCGTTCCTTTGAGTTGGTCTTTGTCGCTCTTCGGTGTGAACCAATCTTCCAACTGTAACATCAACTCCAAACTTCCAACCCGTTTACAAGCATTGTGACCAACAGCAGCAGCAAACGACAACAGTAGCGGCAAAATCAAAACCAGCAGGAACAACAACAACGCCCGCAATCAGTACAATCAGCAGTAATCATCCTCACAGTGTTCGTAATAATACTGAAAGATCATACGGGTAATAAGTCACTCTTGAAGTTCTCCGTTACTGTGATATAATATTATCATTTTACTTGTTTTAAGTTTTGTGAATAATTGGAACGAAAATAACTAAAATCAGAGACAAGAAAATTATTTTATGTATTTTAACAAGATTTGGAGTTCAATAATTCGAAAGGTTAAAAATGTTGAAAATTAGTGGAAATATATTTTAATTACTTGAATCATAGTAACCAAATCAAGGCGTCAAATAGGGTGCCTTTATATGCATTCCAGGGTACGTGTATGTTTATTTGTAGATACATGCAAGCTTTTTCATCTAGGTGTATACACGTATAGGCACGCGGGTATGTTGTGGTACGTATATGTACAAAGTATGAACACATATTATATATTCACGGACACAAACACATACTCATGCGGAAAAGATCTATACATGTATGACATGTTTGCACGACTACACTGCATATCCTGCCTGGAGTAGCGGCGACTCTGCAACTCAGCTTCTGAACTCTTCTCTACTTCTTCTGATGCAGAAATGACTTGAATAGATGGGTGTCATCTCGATTCTGATCTCAGCCAGGCGTAGTAGTTGTTGTGCTGCCTGGCCGTATATCACGAAGCCGGATAGAAAGGAGGCGCTGCTAAAGCGACAAAGCCTTAGCTCAGCAATTTTTGTTTGCTTCTGTACCATGATCTACAGGCGTATGATTCTTCTTGCTTCTACCACCATTTCTCCCCTTGCAGTCATTCGTGAGACTCTTGCCTTCTTGGTCCAACGTCAACTTCGCACACTACGGCGGTTGTGCCGTAGCCCCCAACATCCCAAAATGATGCAACCGTAGGCCCTGGGACCACCGAGATCCCGATCTGAGCAGGATGGACCCGGTGGCAAGAAAAGGAAGAAGTGGCAGGACCAGACAGTCGAGTTGCTACTCTTTTCCGGGAATCTCGTTGTAAAAAATTCCGTTCTCGTCATGTTACTGCTCGCCGTGACCCACATCATCAGCATCACCAGAATCGCCATCACCATGACCGTCTTCATTCTCTGTATTGGATCTTCACCTTTAGTGTCATCTGTGCCTCCGTCCTGATGCCGTTGCCACGATTCTCATCGACACCATCGCCATCATCATCCCATGGGCATCCACATTTTACAGTACTCATCGCCCACATCATTAGTGCTGTCAGCATTCTCGCGCGTGGTCGTTGTCACTATCACCATCCATTTATGTCGCCGTCATCACCATCAGCAGCAGCCCTGTCGGCATCAGCATCATCGACATGAGCCACTCCGCTGTCGTCATCGCAGTTTTTTCACCGCCGTCACCGTAATGCCATAATCGTTGTCGTCATCCTCGTCGTCGTCGGCTTCCATCGCTAAGATGAAAGCTCGACTTGGTATTGGTGGTTCTTCTGCTGCTGCTGTTGCTCTTGCTGCTGCTGTTGCTGCTGTTGCTTTTGTTTTCTGTTTGTAGAGGTTGTGGTGGCGGCGGCGGCGGCGGTGGTGGTGGTGGTGGTGGTGGAGGTGGGGGTGGCGGGGTGGTGGTGGCGGTGGCGGCGGTGGTGGTCATGGGCGTCGTCGTCTTTGTCGTCTTCCTGGCAAGAATGTACCCGAGATCTCCAGGAGGAGTCAGATGACGAGGAGGAGTCGGAAGCGAAGAATGTGACCGTGGAGGAGATGGAGGAGTGGAAGGCTTTCGCACTGCACAGGAAGTCGTCTCCTCCTTGCGTGCTTGACTCACTGCTTCCGACGGCCACGCACTCGCAAACAGCTTTTGAGCATTGTGTGGCCATCCCGGTGAAGGGTTGTGTCCAGAATTTGAATCCTACTATGTCCGACAAATCATCTTTCACGCCTAGAGACTGTGCCAGGCAAAGATGGAAGAGGAAGAGTCCAGCTGGCGCTTTTTACACCAGCCTCAGTGGTGCCAGTTCATCCTGCCATGCGCACAATCTTCAGCTTCTCAGGCTCGACCAAGCCGTGGTAGACTCCTGGTAGATGTAGGGCCCTACGTTCCCGCTTCATGCATCATTCGCTGCGGCAGAGCTTGAAGTTGCAGCTGCTCTTAAGCTCCAGATTCCTTGGCCTCAGCTTCTGCTTGGACGCCGAGAAGGCAGCGCCGGGCATGGGCCTTCAAAAAGTGGTCGCAGGCGGTCAGACAGGCGTGGACCAGGCTGCCCTCACTGCTGCGCGAGATTTGGGGCTGGCTACAGGACCGGCATGGAACTTTCAGCCAGTGTGCTTTTGCAGCTCGACTTCCCCTGCCGACGGCTTCAGCACATGCTAAGTTAGAAGGGAGCCGTCCTTGGAAGCCTTCGCGAAAATTGCTGCAGATTGACCTGGCAGGAGGCTTCTGCCCAGAAGATAGCTCGGACGAGAATGGGCCCATCCCAGACCTGGCAGAGCCGAAGGCGTGCAGTTGGCAAGGGGTCCTTGAAGTTCGTTGCTCTCTTTTACTTGGGGTTCGTCATGGACGTCTCTGTCCCTGCAGCTCAGCCAAGGAGTGGCATCTTACACCGCTGACGCCGGATGTGTGGAAGGCTCACGAAGGCTTGCTGTGGGCTTTCGAGTATCTTTCATCAATGTATAGTTCACATCACAGAGTTAAGCGGGCTACTGTGATCCATGAGAGACCCACATCTTGGACCTCTAGGCCTCTTCGAAGATCTGGGGCTTTGCAGCGATCCCGACAAGTTCGCGAGACGAACGCTGATGAATGCCCTGGAAAGTTCAGGCTTGCTTAGTTCTACGAAGAGGGTATGGAACTTGCTGGGGCTTTTGGCGCTACCAGGGGCTGCTGAAGGTTTGGATCTTGGAGATGTGGGAATTCAGCACGCAAAACACTCCGGGCCACCCCCCCCCCCTCCCCCCCTCCCCCCCGCCCCCCTCCAATAATGCACGGCGCCTCTGCACCGGAGCCATGCGAAGGATCAGGAAATTCTGAACTGAACTGCGTAGTTCTGAACGGCGGCAAGGACGGGATCGACGATCACTGCACACAAAAAAAGCAAAAGCAAATCGTCGTAATAATGATCATAATAATAATAAGAATAATAATAATAAAGATAATAAAGATAGTAATAGTAATAATAATAATAGTAGTAGTAGTAGTAGTAAAGCGCCATGAGCGGATCAAGCAGAGCGCTGTTCTGTGAAACCTGGGCCTGTTAGGAACGTAAGCTTGCTAGAAGGCTCGGAGGCCCCAAGGAAACACTGCTTTAGTGCTCCGTCGTGGAGCTGTGCGATTGGTGGTGCATCTCAAAACGGAAGGCGGTCGTATGGTGCTGCTTAACTGAGAGATTGCAGGGGAGACAGCGAACATTTGGATTGCTCAGCCCGGTCCCAAGTCCGGGAGTGATTGAGACAGCATGGAAACATCAACGCATAGAGATCACTGGCGCGAGGGTTGGTCCTCACCCTCCGGGGGACCTGAAGCCAGCGGTGCAGCCGCTCCGTTGGCAAACATAGGAGGGGACTTTGAAGCTGCTCCTGCTCTACAGGGGAAGCATTTTTCGAGAATAAGGAAAAGATCATACAAGCGTGCGGTAAGACGTGCGCAACTGCAAGGAGAGACCATGTACAGAGGTCGCAAACTGGTCTCAAGATCGCCACAACTCCCGGTAGTCGAGGAGGTGGTGGCGACACAACAACGGCGACGAATTCGTTTTGTATCTTGGAACGTAAGTGGATTATCGGAAGTGCTGTTTACGGAAATCAAACAATGGGTGCAGAAACCTCCGAATCGTGATATTTGCATTCTCATCCTACAGGAAACACACTGGAATTTCAGTGGCGATTGGTCCACTAAAGATTGGCACTTCTGTCACTCGACATCGGGCAGGAAGGGCAGCGGTGGAGTTCTCATTGGGGTGAGATCGGATCTTGCAGATGCCAGGCAGATTCGATGGCATGAGGTGGAGCCAGGACGTATTTTGCAGGTGCGATGCTTTCTGAATTTGCAGCAGATGGACATAGTGGGGGTATACCAACATGCGCTCTTGCAGACGGCTGGCCAAACCGACCACATCCTGGAAAGTAGACGCAAACTGCTGACAAAACTAGATCATCTCCTTTCTGCGCTACCCGCGAGATCGCAGATCCTTCTGGGGGGAGACCTTAACTCGAGCGTGGTCACGGAAAACAAAATCAGTGGCTTTGGGTTGATTCAGAAGGATCTGAGCGAGAAGGAAAAGGTTGACAGGGACCACCTGATGAGAATAATGCAGAGGCATCGTCTGGTCTTGCTCAATACATGGGGCAAGAAGAACACTGCCGCGACGTACATGCATGCCAAGGGAGCCAGTCAGATTGACTATGTTTGCGCTAGGCAAGCTGTGGCGGATGGCATCGCCAAGTGCACCGGGCCGCGGACCACAGAGATGGCAGGATGGCGCAAGACGGGGCACAAGCCAATTATTGGTTCAATTCCTCATCGCTGGACACCATGGCAACAGCCTCGGAGGGGGAGCTCAAACCTGAACAGCGTGACAAAGAGGAGAGAAAACCTGAAGGGCCTTCAAGTATGCGAGGATAATGTCATTCCCTGCAGTGTCCGTGAGTTACGATCGGCAGTACAAGAGGCGGGGGGTGATGCACCGCAGAAAGTGGTCATGCCGGAACTAGCGCCGGTTGAGGCGACTGTCAAAGATTGCTGGAAGCTCCGACGGAAGATGATGCTTGTTCAGACGATGCTAGGGGCAGGAATTTTCTTTGTCTTCCGTTTCTTTAAGATCAGACTTCAGTATCAGAAGGCACATCGTGAACTTAAGAAGGCCCTTAGGGCGAGGAAAAGAGCGAGGACACTGGACTTGCTGCAGCAAGCGGAGCAGGCGGCCTGCAATAATGATGTTCGTGCACTATTCGGTGTTGTTTCTTTGCTGTGCCCCAACAGACATTCACAAAAGATTCGTCTCAGGGATAAGGATGGGAACTTGATGTGCGGAGCAGACGAATGCAAAGCCCTTGCTGACTATGCTCGTGAATTGTTCATGGCGCCGGAATGCCCAAGGATGGCTCTGCTCAGAATCCCAGCAGACGAGCTCCGTCTAGAGAGATGGCAGCGGGCAGCGAGCAAGCTGAAAGCTGAGAAGGCGGCCCCGAACGGCACCCCTCCTCTTAGGAATTGGAGCCAGAATCGCGAGCTCATAATACCGGTGTTGCATCAGATCGCGGTCCGCAGTCTGTGTCGAGAGAATCCGGTTGTTCCACCGGAGTGGACGGAGGTGCAGCTTGCTTGGTTGGCGAAACCGAGAAAGTGCCCCAGTACGCCGGCGAATCTGAGGACGGTTGGGCTTATGGCGGGGGACACGAAAATCTTCATGTCGGTGCTGAAGGAAGCTGTAAATGAGAAGATCATGGAGGGATTATGGGACGTCCCCCAATTTGCATACAGACGATTGTCCAGTACGATTGATGCATTGCTCAGGGGTAGTCTTCATTGCGATCGAGTCCGACTTCTCACAGGCCAGGTGAGCACTGATCTCACCACCAAGTTAACCGCGGGTAATCTTCCGGAGCTCAGTGGGGGCTTGATGATCAGTCTGGATTTGGCTAAAGCTTTTGACTGTATGCCATTCACAGTGATGTACACGAGCTTAAGAGAGGTTGGGGTTTCTGATGAATTGGCACGGCTGGTTGTGGAAACGCACAGGCAATCCACTTGTATTGTGAGACACAGCAATTGCAGCATACGTGTCGGCATGAAGCGGGGACTGCGACAGGGTTGTCCTTTGGCTCCGAGTGTCTTCACGGCGTGGACTATTCATCTTTGCCGAGCGCTTGGGGCTGAGTGGTGTCGTGAACATGTTAGTCTTTTCGCTGATGATGTTCATGGTCACTGGGTGATACAATCATGCGCTCAATTTCATGAAGCTCGTGCCCGTGCACTTGCCCTTATCACTGCTCTCCATAAATCGGGGATGCAGGTCAATGTCGACAAATCGGAAGCCGTTCTTCTTCTTCGTGGCAAGGCAGCGACTGCGATCAAACAAAGATTTGTTAAGTGGTGTAAGGATGGATATGTCCTGCATTTAGGGCAGGACAGCTGCACTGGACGGGAAATCAAACTTCCAGTCAAGGACAGGATGGAGTACTTAGGAGCCATTCTTTCGTATGGACCCATGGAACATCAAACTGTCAAGGCACGTGCAGTCAAGGCTTGGACAAATTACAACAAGCTCAGGCCGATGCTACGCACCTCCTCGGCGTTCAGCACGCGACAAAAGCTCCGCATTTTCCAGGCCTGCGTGGTACCAGCATTGCTTTATGGCATCATCGGAGTCGGGGTCACGGCTTCTAGCATCCGCATAGTGGAGTCGATCCTCACACGGATGCTGCGCAAGGTGTTGCGGGTGTATGAGCATGGTGTTTCCAATCTTCAGGTCCTCCAACGAGCAGCATTGCAACCAACGGAGCGATTGAAATCTCTTCTACAAGGCAAATCCCAGACTCTTGCTCGCGAGGGTCATCAGTCACATGAGCTTCACACACCTGCTCAACATCGCATACAAGCCATCTTGCAGGAGCTGGACCGGGTTGAGCTACTTCCCAAGGCGGGGCTTGTTGAAATTGACAGGACTGGTGAGGCTGTGTCATGTCCGGTATGTGGGGTGGAGTTCCACAATCAAAAGAGCTTGGAGGCGCACTTCACTGCCAAACATGCGCATGTACACCTGGATGCCAGAACCCCATTTGACAGGAGGCAGCACACATTATTCGGGCTGCCACAGTGTCGGTTTTGCAGGCAATCTATGTACGACTGGGCGTCAATGGAGCGGCACATCACTGAAGGTCGGTGCCCGAGACTCAAAACAGCGGCGGCTCAGGGAATGAAGCTGGAGCAGTTAATGCAGACTGTGAAGCAAGAAGAACAGGCAGCACCCCCGAAGCAACCGGCGGCAAGGGATACATGGGAGGCCACACCCAGTGCGATTGTATCGGCTTTACTCTCATGTCCTTTGTCACTGTTGCCCTCTCATGCGCAGGCAATCTCACATTACAAGACGAAGTGCGTACTTTGCGGACAGGAGATCAAAGTGACGGGTCATGTCAAATTACACTGGCAAACTACACATAAAGACTCGTGGGAGCGGGTGCAGCAGGATGCCATCTCGGGGGCTCGCAGCATGAAGGCGGCGTTCTCCAGGCCATGCCAATTCTGTGGCAGTACAGCAAAACACGGGAAAACAGATGCAGATCACCATGCGACGAAATGTTCTCCATTGTTTCAGGTCATGGCGGTACGCAAGCTCTTCACTGATGGAGTCTTGGAGGAACATCTCCATTCCAGGCGGCGACCGGCTCAAAAGCAGCGGGAACAGGAACCTAAATACAAAATGAAGGAGAGAAAGAACATCAAGGAGCTCCTTCGTGGCGCGCAGACTGCTTCCTCTACGGGACCCAAGGAGAATCGCCCCCTCATCACCAAGACCCCTGCGGTCAAGCATCCAGTTGATAGGGTCAGTAGCAGAGCTTCGGACACGAGTGCTAGGAGCGATGCGGCTGAAGCTACGAGTGCATTGACAGCAAGGCTTGTCAATCCACACAACCTGTGCTACATGAACGCAGGCATTCTGGCTATAATGCATGCTTTGGAAGACCTGGAACCTCCAAGAGGTTTTCGACTGCTCCGAGACACGATCAAGCAGAGTGCATGTGGCGAGCTCAATCTCTCGACACATTTTGGGCTTCGGTCGATTTTTCAGGGCTGGACTCTTGACAACCGACAAAGGGATGCCGCGGAGTTCATAGGATTTCTGCTGAACAAGGTGGGGTTTGTGCAGTCGTCATGGGAGGCTAGAACGATGTATCGGGAAGTCCACAACACCGTCGATGCAGGTGGTGGCATGATCTTTCTCGATTTGCCCAGCGGGGACTGCGATCTTCAGGAGCTGGTGAGTGCCTGGTCGTATCAGGCATCTGCGCATGCATTGATCTCTGCCCCTCAACTTCTTCTCGTTCAACTTGGCAGGTTTCCTCACAGAGGCAAATCTCACGTACAGGTGCGTTTCCATCAAACCGTACAAGTGCCGATATTCACGAGTGGCATCGAGTGTATGTGGCAACCCTACATCGCGGTTGCAGGTCTGGTGCACTACGGAGAGACACCTCATTCCGGACATTATCGCTCGGTTCTCAGAGTGCAGGATTCTTGGTGGCTAACGGATGATGCAGTGCCCGCAGTACCCTGCACACCAGATGGATCTTTGCGAAGGGGGTTGTATACAGTCTGGCTCAAGAAACAGCCCGGCGAAGACCGCGAAGTCTGAAGGCTCTCCTACCTTGTGCAGGCCTCATGACTGATGCGCTGGAAGTGCCGATGGAACAGGAGGAAGAGCTTCGAATCTGGGCAGCCTTTAAACAGGCAGCTCCCACCGCCATCACGGGAGACCAGGAGGAAGCCCTGGACAAGGATCGAGCCTCGAAGTTTCACAAACCAGAGGGTAAAGGAGACTCCAGAGGGCCCGAGAACAAGGGTGCTGACTCCAGGGGTTCTGCTGGTGACGCTGGGCCCGGACACCAGAGCAGGAATCCGCAGGGCTATGGCTCCAAGGGCCATGGCCAGGGAAGTAACCAGCGTTCGCGCCACCAAGGTGGATGGGGTGGAAACAAATGGCACAACTGGAAGAAGGATGAGGATGACGACCTGGAAACGCTGAGGTCGTTGGTCAGCCAGTTGGCGAGGCTCTGTCTTCGTCACGAGGATTCCATCAACATGTGGAGGGCGGAGAGCTCATATGTGCTGTTCGTGCGCACTGGAATTCCTGGAAGCTTGGTGCCGTCGCTGTTCGCAGCAAAGACGGAATGGCAGAAGCTTCGAGAGGCCAGCCCGGAAAAGGTTAAGAGGCCCATGCGGAATATGCTTTTCAGCTGCCTGCTAAAGGAGATGTTCGACAGACTGACGTTGCTGCGTAGCGACACATCGCGGAGAGAGAGCATGGAAAAACTTGGATGGCTGAAGGGGGAAGATTTCCAGCGGTTGCGATGGGATCCCAAGTTGAAGAAGAATGTGAAGGATGAAGAAACGTCGGTGATCTCGTACGAGGATGTGTTGACGGTGCTTCAATCTATGCTGACTCGATGCAACACGGTGGAGGCGCTTCTAAGATTCCACCCGACCAGGCCAATTGCGGAGCAGATGCAGGAGGGCACGGTGGCGTTTCTGTTGCAGTTCTCGCTGCAAAATGACGCGGGGCTACAGCTCTATGCGGACATGGCCCAGCTGTGTCACTGTGGCTCAATGGTTTGTGGCATTGAGGTGAAGAAGGAAAGAAGCACCAGAAGTCAGCTGGCAAATCAAATCAGCCGCTTGTTGAATTCCATGTGACCGGGATGAAAGCCGGATGAGAAGCCTAGGGCGTGCTTGGCACTGTCGGTGCGACGCCCTGATTTTGGCCAAATCCTTTAGCTTTGACAGTGGGGCATGGGGCATGCTCCTTCAGGTTGCGTTTCCTTTCATCGCATTTCATGCTTGGGCACATTGCCGGGAAGCAGCACATAGCAGATGCCACTACTTTTGCTGGAGTCATGTGTGGAGGCAGATGCTCCAGCCGTCGGCCGATTACAGTGCTGGAAACCGGATGAAAAATGGGAGAGCGGCGATGACGAGAGGTAGTATGCTTCTCATGCGAGCAAGGTCATTGTTTTGTTCATATTCACGCCGTGATTGTGTATGACTCAGGTTTGGCCCACTTTTCAATGCCGGTATGGTCTTTGACTCGGTGAATGCAGCACGGACCTTACGCCGTACACGTCCTCTTGATCGGCTGTCACTGATGTTGCTCAGATTCTACATAATAACAGTGCTTTCGGTCGATGATGACACCATTGGGGAGGGGTAGCCGGGCTCAATGCTATACGCTGGCGACGGTGCTTACTACTTGATCATGCCATGAGTGGACTCTATGCCTATTTCAAGTCCTCGCGTGATCCTCGGCAACGACCCAGGCGTGATGGGCTGCACAAATTTTTCGGGGGCCCTCAGCTTGTCAATCATGAGGAACGACCTGTTCCAGACACCGTGGCTACCAATGAAGGGACGGATGTTATCATGGATGTGTCATCGGGTTCGGATGCGGAATATCTGCCTCCTGAAAAGCTTCGGCGTACTCAGTTAGTGACCCGAGATGCCTCAAATTTGATTCGCTGGGATGACATGGAGACTTTCAAGGCGGGTCGATACGAGCTCCCCTCGATCTCTCTGCAGAAGCTGGGTAATCCAGAACAGGCGGCGGAGACCATGGCGCGTAGCTGCTTTGAGCAGGGGCATGTCACATGGATGCAGATCGAGGCGATCATGAATGCATTACCGGAAGACTCTAAAATAAGATGGAAGCAAGATACTCAGAATCGCATGGCCACTCCGAAATCCTTCATGACAGGAGCATGGGCACGAGGGCCTCAATATGGCATCACCAGAAATCTCAAAAAGTTTCCACATGTGAGCCGATTGCTTGCTCATATTATCAGTGGTGTGGATGCTTCTTTCAGGTTCAGCTCGTGCACCCTTGCCAGGAATGTCTGTTCAAGGCCACACAAGGACGGGCACAACGCGGTGGGCAGCTGGAATCTGGTGGTGCCATGCTCTGAGTTTCAGGGCGGAGAAATTTGGGTCCAGGATCCGGATGGTGGCACGCTTTTGGCCCCCAACAGTGAGCCAGGAATTTTGTGGGACGCGCACACTCCTGTCCGCTTCAATCCAAGCCATCGGCATGCTACAGCTCCGTGGGGTGGAGATCGGCTGATTCTGATAGGGTACCATGTTAAACATACG